TGCAGGTTGGACATGGTTGGTTTTAGGGACCATCTACATACTGGTGGCTCCCAGAGCCCTCTCTCCACCGCAGACCTCACTCCAAGGTGGACTCATGTGACCAACTGCCTGCTAATCGCTGCTCTCACACCCCCCCAGGCACTCACACTCATCACACGCAGAAAAGAACTCAGAGTCATGCTCTCCCCCAGACCTGTCCCGGCTCCTGCATTTCCATCTTGCTCACAGGCACAGCGAACACCAAGACAGAGCACTCCAGCTGTCCTGGCGTCTCCCTTTCCACCACCGGTGTCACATCTCTCCCTTTCACCCCACAGCCACTGCCTGACTCACACCACGTCCACCATTTCTTTCCTCCACGTCATAGCCTCTTCCCACTGGTCACTCTGCCTCGAGTCTCCTCTCCCAGGCCATTCTCCACATGCAATCAGTGACCTTTCTATAAAGAAACACACACTTTCCCCGCCTTAAAACTTTACAATGGTGCCCACCACCTTCAGGCTGGATTTCAAGTGCTTAACAGGCCTCCTAAGACCCTTATGGATTTGGCCTCCATCAGCTCTTCCAGTCTCATCTCTGTTACCCACCCTTCATTTTGGACCCCACACCTCAGGCAACAATTCCTGAACACACGAGACCAGCTCTCTCGCTGAGGCCTCTAGTCCCTCTGCCTAGCGTGCCTGCCTCCGCCAGGCGTCTGCCAGCTCAAGTCCCACCTCAACCATTGCTTGCCAAGCCCAGGGCTGGACCAGGCCCCTTGGTGCTCCCACCGCTCCCTGCTCCAACTCCAGACTCACACCAACCTCCTGGAGTCTCCAGGGATCCAAGTCCAAGTCTGGGAGTTTTCTGTGGGGAGGAGGGCCTACACCAGGTCCTCTGTGGGCTCCAGTGGCCAGCCCTGGCTGGCCCATGGCAGGGCTCAGAAAGTGAGCCGAGTCCCTGGGCTTCAGCTGGGCCAGCACTTGGCACTAAGGCAGACTTCATCCCTCTTTGAGGACTAACTCTTCCTCTCCTCGGCCCTCAACACCTCATAGCCAGCATCCCCTAGGTCTCCACCACCACGAGATGGGGCCCACCAAAGGAAGACAATGGGGCTCATGCCCATTAAGGCCAGGCACACATCCGCCAGTGTGCATGCCAACATTCACACGCATGTGTCCCCTTCATGAGTATGCAAACCTTCCTATGTGCACACCGACATACATGTACCCCCACAGGTAATTCACATATCCACACAACCATGGCAGACAAGCACCACGAATGCCCCCAAACCCACACATGTACCAACAGGCACACGGGCTCCACACTCACAAGTGCCCACGGGTCCCCTGGTGGTCAGTACCCAGCCTGGGGGTCATAGACGGCACACCTGGTTGATGACATAGATGCCATAGCGCAGCCGCTGCCGCCTCAGGATGGGGTGCAGATAGTGGAGCCAGTAGCGTAGGTGGTGCTCCCGGTGTCGAAAGGGGATGATGACTGCCACTGTCTGGGCTGGGGTGCAGTCGGGCGGTGTATAGCGGCCACCCAGGAGCACACCCGGGTTCTCCCTCTGCACCCGCTCCAGTGGCATGGGCGAGGTGAACTCAATCAGCAGTCGGCCCACTGCAGGCAGGACGGTGGCAGGAATCAGGACTTCATCCGAATCCTGGGACACCAGCCCTCTCCCTCGGCCCGGGGGTGGACGAGGGAACCCGAGGAGTAGCCCTCTCACAACAGACCCGGACCCTCGGCACCCCATCGGTCAAGACTCCACTCCCCATGGAATGGTTAGGTCCTCTGCCCACCCCTATGGGCAGGCCCTACCCTGCAGGCTCACCAAGACCAGGTGGCGAGTCAGGACAGGGCGGCAGGACGGGAGCCGAGGAGCCAGGCCGGACACTGGGGGCCTCAGGGAGTCCGGAGCTGGGGGCAGTGGCGTTCGGCCGGGAGCAGTTGGAGCTGCTGGCAGCTGGGTGAAGGACACGGGCAGGGCCTCGGGCACTGAAGCGGCTGAAGAAGGCCAGGTGCTGGGCATAGACGTCAAAGTAGAGGATGACGGCCACGAGAAAGTGCAGCAGGCAGAGAAGGAGCACGGCCTTGCAGACGCGCTCCAGCGTCCCCCCCAGCAGTCTGCTCATCCCGCAGGCGGCCTCCGGCCCGCCCAATGGGCCCGGGCATCCGGCTGCCGGCCTGAGCAAAGGTAGGAAAGAAACCGACCCAGCCGGTTAGGGCCGATGGGCAAGGCTACCCACCCACCTCCTGCCCACTGCTTCTACTCATGGACCCGCATCCTCACATTTACCTGCTCATGCCCTGTGACACTCATCCTCACATTCTACCTGCAAACAGACACACAGACACAGTCCCTAGCAACTCAATACTCACACATCTTCACGCACCTGAGTACTTACCCACGTAAGCTTACATTCCTTATCTACACACACACACACACACACACACACACACACACATACATATTCCCAGGAACATGGACACGTAGCCTCTGACCACACTGGTTCATACCTAAACATGGGAACATGTGTACCTACAGACCCACATGTGTACCTGTGCCCCAGAGAACAGACACCCCCCAGGGCAGTATGCTCATCCCAGGACTCCGGGCCTGGGGAAAGGGGCCATTTCCTGAGCACCTGCCATGCAGGAGTGCTCTGTATCACGGCTTCACTTAGTCCTCCCAGGAGCATGGTGGGCAGTGGTTTGGTCACACAGGTCCCAGGGGCAAGCAGGCCAGGCCAGCTGGAACCAGGCTGGGAAGTGGCCCTCAGCATCCCAATGGCCCAAATACAGGATGTCTGTGGGATCCCTTCCTTCTGGAACAAGAGGTCAAAATACAGGGTGTGGCACGGGCACCCCCTATAAGACCTCAAGGGTTGGGCTGAACTCCCTGGAGCCTGCCCAGCACTGCCGGTCCTGATTCCCAGAACAGGGACGCTGGAGCCATGGGGACGGAGGTGCAGCACTCAGCAGGCAGCAGAGGGTCCTGCTGGGCACAGCTCCAGCTGCGGTCCCAACAGCGCGGCCACACTTCTGAGGCCACTTCTAGCAGCGCTTCAGGTTGCAGGGGGCGTCTCACTCACAGACACACGGCATCGCACAACCGTGCAGACACCCTCGGTCCCAGCTATACTCACCTGCACTGAGACACACACAACTACAGACAGACACACCCAGGTGACAGTCACACACAAGTTACACACTCACAAACAAAGCCGCGGGTCCCGCACTTACACAGCCGCACCTACAAGCTCCCGGGCGCCTCCCAACACGCGGCCCCACGTGCGAACATTCCCACCCCTCCTGGGGCAGGAGTTCTGGGTCAGGCTGACCACCGGCAGCGAGGTAGTTTTGGGCAGGGCTGGAGGGCTGAGCCGCCTGAACACGTGGCACCCCGGGACTGGGGAGGCAGCAGAGACCCGGAGGGTGTGGAGCCTGGGGGTGGGGAGGCGTGGATTGGGGGAGTGGATGGAGGCGGGGGCCGAGGCCAAGGGGAACCGTGAGTGGAGCGCCTCCCCGCGCCACGAGGCCCGGTGAGCAGGGACAATAAAGGAGGCCGGTCGGGGGCGGGCAGCGGAGCCCAGCGGAGCCCGGGGGAGCCTAGGGATGGGGGTGGGGTGGGGAGAGGCAACGCCAGGCCGGGCTCTGGCAGCTGGCGCCTCTCAGCGGGTCCTGGGCGGGGATCGCGGGGATCGCGGGGCCGGGGCTGGAATCTGGGGGCCCGGAGCTGGGGGCCGCGCGCGCCTCCCTCTCACCCGGCGCTCAGCAGGGGGCGCTGCTCCGCGCTGGGGCTGGCTTCCCGGCTCCGGCGGCTGCAGACGCTCCGT